CCAACCTTGAAGGGTAACTTAAGTTGGGAGAGATACTGTTCGTACGAAGCCAGGAAGAAGAATTGATAAAGAAACTTGGTGGTCCATATGGTTCACACGGTGATAAAGAAAAAGAGCCAAGCGTACAAGCAATGGCATAAGTCGAAATTGGAAAGTGATTGAAGTCGTAGCTGAAATGAAACGCGCTGCAAAAACATGTGTCAAGAAAACGAGGAAGACATACGTAGAAGAGCTGTACAATAAGTTGTAATCTCGTGAGGGAGAGCGCATATACCGAATATTGCGAGGGAAGGCAGAACCCGCAAAAAATATGGAGCCTTTTTAACATGTGAAATATAAGCTTGAAAAACGTTAAGAAGACCACAGGAAATAAGAAAGATGGCGCACGTACTTCGAATAGATGTCGTCCACTTCCAATATTGAAACCGTTATCCCATCAGCTGACCATGTGAAAGGATCAGCCACTCATCACAGCAGAGGAAGATGGCTTGCCATAACAAAGACAAAGAACGGCAAGGCTCCCAGTCCAGATGAAATACCAAGCGTCCGATAAGAATGCTGGCTCAGTAATTTTGGTTTGCAGTCTCCAGTGAGGTCATCAGAGCTAAGGTTATGCCTCATGACTATTCTTAGAGTACAACGACCCCGATATAGATGAGTAAAAGCGATAACTGTTCAACATATCGGCCAATCCGGCTGATGAGCCATACTCTGAAAGTCCTTGAAAGAATACTTGAAACACTACTTCGAGTCATAGAGTTGTCATCCAAACAGTGTAGGTTTGTAAATGGTGGCTACTACTACTGCTTACGCTACCCACACTGTACCGATAGTGTTGGAGGAATATAAAAAAGGGCTACATACGTCTTTGTTGGATATAGGGAAGCCGACGAGATAACCCGTGATGTCATATGGTGGGAACTGCGAGAGGACATAGTTCCAAAAATCCAATGAATAATAATCTAGCAAAAAAGCCTTGGAAAACACGAGCCTTGGAACTGCGGCAGGGCAGTGGAAACCGCATAAAGACACACATCAAGGATCGT